GAATTTAATACACTAGTATTCTAGCTAGGACCCCGTATTAATTTAAAAAAAAAAACGTTGGGGGTACAGTCATATCTGGCCTTGATACATTAGAAAGATAATATCGATCCATGGGGTTGTATAGAAATCGATAATCAACGAGTTATGAATCGAATTCTCTTTAACTCCCAATATCCAGACATAAATTCTCAAGACTGGTCCTCATAAATTTCCTTAATAAATAAGCAGTGAGAAATTGATGAGATAAAAGCATTCTCTTTGGTGATCATTTTCTTAATTCTCATAATCTTTTCTTTTAACTGTACATTGATATTATCGGAAAAAACTTGATGTTGGTCATTTTTGAGACATACTGTGTTTTAATGACTATGACCTTTAATACTTTGTTTATAAAATAGGTTATTTTAAAAACTACGGCAGGTTTTAGCAAATATCCATTTGGTGCCCTTGACAGGCTACCAATTAAATCCATCTTAACGTGCAGGTTAATAACGGCAGATAAAAACAAAATGTTGCGCCAACCTTGAAAAATTTCAATAAAACTGCTGGTCAAACTTCTACTCCTTTGTTGGCAGGTTTTCTAACATCTAGGCCCACTAAAGGAGATAATGCCTCTAACTCCTTGAAGATAATTCCACAAAACGCTGTACAAAGGGATACCACACTGTGGCTTATTACAAAATGGGATCAATGAGCTCCTTCACGTTTTTCAGTCTGATTGCTTATATTTTGTTTGCTGTTATTTCATCGGGTTAGTTTTCTATTCTATTGCAATTTTTCTAATTCCGTTTAAAGAATTAAACAAAATGACAATGCTGCATAGTCAACTCGGAAAGATAACAGTTTGGGAAGGTTTATTTCAAAAAGCATCTTCAAAATATATTAACTGTCGGATATAATGGAAGGCTAAATGTACATATACTTTATACAGCGTCTTTAAACCGTTTTTAGAACTTTTGATCTTCAGTACTAAAGGGACATTTTAACTTCTTCGTCTCTGTTTCTAAGATGCGATACGGAACAAATACAAGGAACACCCACATCATAGTTAAAATAAAATATAAATAGTAAGTCCTCCCAATTTCAGCTTTCGTTTTTATTTTAACCCGGCAAGGTAAGCCTCATCGGCACCTTAAACACTCTTATTAAATTTTAAGGTTCTTATATCATTGCTGGACGACAATTTAACTATAAATTTTTATGATGGCTGTTGCAGGCTCGACAGATTTCAATGGAACAGAAGACGTTGCCAAATTAATGGGTAAGAGGAAAAGCTGTTTGAAAAACATTCCATATTTCCTATCACATTTCAAAAGAGAATGATAATTTTGCTTATCTATTCTGTAGTGGTGAGAAAGTTGAATATGACCCGCATCCCCCGCCTGAAGATTAGGGTATTTCCGAATTGCAATGAAAAAATCTTAGTTAAACAGTTGTTGTTATGCCATGGAATATTTTAAACAAAAAGGTTTTTACGAGATATTAATGCTGTTCATCATTTTGAGGGATATGTATTTTTTGTTATCTTTGTACCACAAGGGGAACTATTTGACGACAACAACAGCGCCTGTGAAACACCAGCATTAGAGCTTGGTTTCTTAGTGGCAGAAAGCTACAACGAGCCACCGAAAGAAAATGAAAGAACCTTCAGGAAAGCACTTAAATTTGTTAAAGAGACTGCTCAAAAGATCAAGATTTCAGACTCAGGGACGCACGTTGGGCTCGTTGTATACGGTAAAAAGCCTTATATGGCTTTTGACTTCAACGAATACTTTGACACGCCAAGTTTATCTCGAGCAATTGAAGAAGTCAAAACACCAGCCCAAGGAAGCAGGGTCGGAGACGCGCTTACGTTTACAAAAGAACAACTGTATGACAAAAGTGCCCGACCAGGGATCCCCAAGGCATTGATTGTGTTGTCGTCTAAGAAATCAGAAGACAGGATAGAACATGGTGTTAATACTCTTAAAAAGACTGGAGTGAAAATCTACACGGTGGGTATCGGAACGGAGGGCGATTCTATGGAAACGAGTGACATGGCTTCAGATGTACCGGATACGTTTTATGCAGACCCCTATCAGCTGAAAACCTTGGTGACAAAACTGGTAGCCAAGCTATGCGAAGGTTAGAAAGTACGTTATATTTGCGGCTTTATTAAAGTAAGAACTATAATATCTCAACGGATTGCAGATTAAATTCTTGTCTACTTTACGCATGCACTTATTCAGCACTTGGTCATTAATCATTGAAGGGGAGAGTTCAAATAAGTATGAAATATGTAGTACATAAGAACAAAATCTGACTTTCAATTATTCCAAAATTACAAATCCCTTACAAATGTCCTGTATTTCTATCGTTAACAGATTCCAAGGGAGAGAGTATTCCTGAAGGTGAGCTAACCCATAGCTTTAATTCAGATTCAAGAGACATATATGACCTTGCTCCATACCAGAATCCTGCAAATTACAACAGTTTTAGCGTACACGAGCATATTTAAAGAGTGGATTTCACTCAAGAAAACACGGTTGCGAAATTTAAGGAAGCTTGACTGCAAGCTCTATTTTGTTCTCTGCTTACGTATCTAAAGTTTTCCTAATCATTCTGTTTGATCTTGTAGCCCCTGCAGAGCTTAAAGTGACGTCAGACGAGTCAGACTCTGCAAGTAAGTACACCTGAAAAAGACCTGCAACAACAACACTGACGATACAACAAAAAAACAAACAAAATCAAAAACAAAATTGTTGTGTATAAATTCACATTTAGCAAATCCCCTAATCATTGTTGTTCATGTACAGGTAAAGCTACGTAAATCTACCTCGGATAGATGTGCACGCAATTTTACGACTGAAACCATGGATGCTAAAACAGGCGATAAATTTCCCCTCTCCTTCCGAACCTTCCGTAGAAATCCAGCCGAATATTTTGGCATTTGGCGTCGCCGTGACCTTCTTACCACAACCAGAGTTATATCTTCACCATCTATTTAACAATTATTCCACGAGGGCGCGTTGGATATGAGATGACAGATAGCGAACGAGGCGCGTAGCGCCGAGTTAGCTATAATCATCTCATATCCAACAAGCGCGAGTGGAATAATTGTTTTATTAAAAACGCCCACAAAATATTAGAACAAACCGGAAAAGACAAGGGACTTCCGCTATTCACATGTCACGCGTCTATCGAAACTGTCAACGCGCGAACGGACTCGCCTAGACTAGCCTGAAATTCATCCGATTGCTTCGAGTCGTTTTCTCCTCTCAACAACGTCTGAATCGACGGGCCGTTAATACCGTCCAGTGACGTCACTCACTACCCGAAAACCGGGTAGTGATTTTGATTGGTTGATTGTCTAAACATTCGCATAATTATGTATAATTATGAAAAATTTTAGCGCGATTGTCGCTTGATATTCAGCAGATCGCATCCCCGGCATTCTTTCGTTTAGTTCAAACATTTCGATAAGCTTAATCTTTATCTTAACCAGCAAAATTGCCCTTGTCTTCGAAACTGAAGTGCTAAATTGAACTGCGAATGAAGAATCATTGCGGAGAGTGGGTAGGTTTTTCATTTAGAGCCGCTTTGTGGTTTCGGCGGCCGGTGATTTTGTTTACGCGAAGTTTTCTGAGATCAATGTTATAATTCGACCTTCTTACTATTTTTACCGTCAAGTGTAATGATTCTGTTAGCTTTTCTTTCTTGTCTCCTTGTTTTTTTTCTTCGTTAATTAAAGCAAATCATTGTGTTTTTGAACTAAGTGTTCCGTGTGTGTGTTTATTTCATTTGCGTGATTGCGACCGAGTTTGATATTTATAGAATTTAGTACAACCGGTTCAGAGTTGTACTGCATGCAGTTGATAGTTTGAACGTTAAACATGAATTACAATCGAAAAAAATAAAGCAGTCCTGTATCATGCAGACATTTCCAAACGATATTTCTCGGTTTGCCACTTGAAAATCGTGTTTTACTTTTTGCATGAATTAAAGCAAAGGTCAAGGACTAGTGACGTCACTGGACGGCATTAACGGCCGGTCGATTCAGACGTTACTGAGGGAGTAATAACGACTCGAAGTAATCGGATGAAATTCAGGCTACGCCTAGACTGCATGAATGAAAAATCAAAACATTGTAGCGATGAACATTAGTTTTCTAAAAACTCATCGGGATTCTAGGATTTTACACAGCAGAACAGCTAAAAAAAGCTGGCAGATAATGTGAAGGAAAAGAATTTTTAAGTGACAGCCGTCGAAATTACTGTGAATTTGGATTTTCGGTGCAGTTATAAAAGAAAGAACAACGGAGAAAAACTATTACCTCGGTCGCTTGTATGAAGTTGTTTGAAGCCACAAGCTGGTTTTGCTGAACGAGAAAAGAAGCTATACTGCCGCCTCGATTGCTCTAGTGAATGGCTGCATAGCCTGTATTTGTAGCTGGTTACTTGTGATTTATATTCTTGATGTGGGATAAACAAGCCGCAGTTATCTATCGGCGAGTGACTCGATCGGCGAATGGTTTCGCGATCATGAAGAAACAACACTTGTCTTCTTTCGTAGCTGGTCAAGGTACTTTTTGTTCCATGTGTTTTCATGTGTTTTTCGACAAACTTTCAAACAAGCTCTTGTGGCTTTTTTGTTTGTTTTTGTCTTTTTTCTTTCGACGAAATTGCATTTCCAGTATTCTAAGAAATGAATTAACACGATTTGCTTCGGGCGCCGTTCTATCCTTCGCGAAAAAAAAATCTCAGCTAGCTTCCAATTTTAAACTGACGCGTACACAGACCATATATGGAGAGCATGGTATTTTAGCTCATATACCATAACGGCTAAGCCAATCAAAATGCTAGAATTGCATTATCCAATGATTCAGTTTTTAATAAACTGCAATATTGGACGTTACGTTGAGTTGTTCTTGTTTCCGTTTGTTGTTTGTCTCATTTGGCTATGAATGGTGGCCTTACGTTTACCACGTAATAATTTGTAACCACAGGAGGCTGCAATCTGTACCGGTCATCGGCAAGTTTTTGCCAAAAGGCGTCCAAAATTCTAACGAATCAGCGATCCACCACTTAATAGAAGTTTTCCTGGTTCTAATATTGCATTGATATTTTTCGGTTCGTGGCATCTACCTGCCATGAGCTACAACTTGAAGTATTGGTCGCTAATTTACATCAGCTGACTTTTTAAATGTCTCTGATTAGAGGTTACGTTGAAATTAATTTATCTCCATACTTGATTCATTTTCAGTGAATCCGGAAGAAGAACCAAGCCCTTCAAAAAACATTGTTTCAGTAAATGGTGAGATGTTCATATCCCTGGCATGATATAGCCTACTTTTGGGTTCCTACATGTATATTAGGCAGTTGATAAGATTCTGTTAGAAGAATATAACAAGAAGAAGAACTTATAAATACTAATTTCAAACAAACACTCTTCCCATAGATATTACCAAATCGGAAAATTGCGTTTATAGTACACCCCTCAGTTTTCATCTTTTCTTTGAGTTTCTCCATATCAGTAAAAATATTTCTGAGGTCAGCCACCTTTAAGTGCCCGATCAGGCTGATCTATTATTCTCTGGATCATCAGTCAGAGATGGTATTTTATTCTTGTTGTTTTATTATGTTTTGTTTGTTTATTATTTAGTGTTAGGAGGGGATTGTGTTCTTTATAATAAAAAGATTTCTCTAGTAGTACTGAAAACAGTATAACCAAATAACAAAAAAAAGAAATGGAGAAGACTAGAAATTACTATTATGAGAATTTCAAGAATATTGTAATCCTGATATCAGTTTGCATCGCATCCACTTATTTCAGGCTACATCTTTGCACTAAAACTGAATCTGGAACTGAAATTGAAATAATTGTGAGGAAATTTACGGTGACCAGTGCTCCTATTTAACGATCATCCTGTATTTATAACGTGATCGACTCTGAGCACATGTTGATTGAAGGTTTTATGATTTAGTGTTGCGTTTCAGATTGTTGTTCAGATACTTATGGACATCAGCATGAAGTTGTAGGGACTCTTCATGTGGGATGATCCTCATCACGATTTAACCTCATTCAGACCTGAGGGTAGGGGGGCTTGATTCCCACTCCATCTTTAAAATTGAACGACTTCGAAACCGTTTAAGCTATGCATATGTGACCGCCATGCAACTCCTGAAATTTACCTGAAGATATTTTAAAGTATTTGTGACCCCTACGTCAACATTGACGACATCATGGTAAGCACCATTTTTTAACAGCCATGTTTAGCAAAATTAAGCACGTAAATTCGGTCTTTTGCAATAATTTAATCAAGGGAAAGACATAATTTTACTAAACGAGTGCAGCTAAAAGCCACTTTATCTTTTATCCCATAGGGGTGGAGTCACCAAGTCAAACATCACAACCGGGAAACGAAGGTGAGTCTCTTCTAATGGCTTTTTAATCGGCAAACGTAGAGCTAAAAACAGTTAAAAGATTGTAATTGTCTTCTTCGCCTGTGTAAAGGTTAGAAACCGTAAGCTAAGGGATTCCAACAAAGTCTATTGCCTCGCAGGTCCACGACCCAACAAGGTGGATCTGGTGTTTCTCATTCAAAGTTCCGGGAAGATGGGTTTTGGGGACTGGAAGAAAACAATTTCCTTTATGAAATACGTGACGCACGCATTTGACGTATCAAGTTCTGAATCGAGAGTTGGATTGATTGTGGAAGGAAACACGTTTCACGTCGTTTTGGATTTCAAAAGAATTGCCAAAAAGACGCTTTTTCTGGCTTTGGCAGGATTAATACCCATTCCATTTGGTGATCTTAAAATCGGCAAAGGCTTGAAAGATGTCGAAGATCTTGTTATAAACCCAAGTGGAAGAGATAACATCCCAGATGTAGTGATCGTTTTAACAGACGGCAAGTCTGTTGATGACGTCAAGAAACCATCAAAATCACTACAAGATAGCGGTGCCGAAATATATGCTATTGGTCTGGGAGACAACATTTCACTTGGTCAATTAGAGGAAATTGCAAGTTTCCCTAGTACCAAATATGTATATCATGGGAATTATAAGGATGTTGTACAAATTGCGAGTCAAGTAGTTGCCCAAATTTATGACCACCATTTTTGTGGAGGTCTAAGCTCTCTGTTGAGAAAATTGCTGCATAAAGAAGAAACAAGAAAGAGAACATCTGCGGTTCAAAAAATGGTGAAAAACAAAGCAAATTTTAAGAAAACGTGAACTCAGTTGCTTCCTGCTTATTGTTGTTGTTGATACTTTTTTTTCGCTTGTTTTCCCCTTTCAGTTCTTATGATTGTTTCCTTTTAAATCACCAATAAATGAATAAATGAAGTGCTTTATTTATCCTTCCCCTTCACACCAGAGCTTATTAAACCCTAATAAATATAACTAAGAAAACAGTATATTTATGTTAGACATACGACGACTCAAGTTGAGGCTTGTTTTTATAAACATCAAATAAAAGAGAGTGTTAAGCTTAAAGACAGTACGTCTGCCTTGAACTAACAATGCGCAATGTGTATGGAATTATCTTGAGAACAGTTTTCAGTCCTTCACAGAAAGAAAATCTCACTTAATATTACATCGGCCTTTAATTTGAAATTTTTTTTCTGGCTATGCCCAATAAATGCGTAGTTAGGGTACAAAAATCTCAAACTTAATGAAGAGCTTTGATTTTCCATAAGCGAACAAATCAAAGAGCAAATGAAAGGATACCGTATTTATTCGATTAACCGCCCTGGGCGCTTATTAAATTTTTGGACCTTGATAGTGGGCGCTTATTCGAGGTGGGCGCTTATTCGAGGCTGGGCGCTTATTAAATTTTCGCCATTCTCAGCAAGTGTAGTTTGTTTATTTTGCTACAAAATAATAAATGGTAATAACAAAAAGCGAAGAAGTAACAAAGCAAGGTTACAGCCCAATCTGTAAAATACTCTGAAGAAAACTCCGTCTTCGGGAGGGTCTCTTATTATGTCTTATTTGAGTTTGTGTGGGAGGGAGTGGGGTGGGGTGGGCGCTTATTCGAGGCTCGGCGCTTATTAACTTTTTCTGCCTTTGGGATGGGCGCTTATTCGAGGTGGGCGCTAATTCGAGGTTGGGCGCTTATTCGAATAAATACGGTATGTCAAGGTTTTAGAAAAAAAATCCTTTATCCTGTTCCTCTCCAAAAAATATACCACTACAACAAACACTATTGTTTGTGGCTTGCTTTGTTTGCTGGGAATGATGTTTTACAATGAATCTACAAGCTCGATTGAAAATCTTGGGGGGAGGGAGGTAAACTTTGGTTGTATAGCCGCTTTAATAATCGTTTCAATTTAATATAAATTACAGACAAATGAAGGTTAAGGGCAAAAATCCCCAACTAAACCACTGTAGAAATTCAAAGTTTAACGTAACTCGGACAAGGGTGGGAGAAGTGGGTAAAAAAAAGGAGATGATTCACTGCTTCTGCTGCGGTTTTTTCGAGTCCGTCCAAAACCACGAGGGGTGGATAGGTAGATCGCGTAAAGGGTTCACAGAAAGTTCAATATGTTGCACCCCCTATTGAAATGCCGTAGCCACCATAATAGTTCGGTTTAAAAATTTGCCGAGGGACAGCATAATACGTTTATTGTCTGAAAAACAATTTCTTTCTTTCTTTAGCTTCCTAGTGACTTAGATATTCATAACGTTGATTTATTATTGTTGCTTTTTTTCTTCAATAAATGAAATTTGTTTATTTCAAGACGTGAATCTTCTGTGACAGTCATCCACTGAATACGAACAAAATGTATACAACATATATTTATTTACAGCCTTCCCGTCAACCAAGCATTCAAAAGGTAATGAGCAGGAAGGAGAGGTTGAACATGATGTCTCAAATGAGAACGACAGTTTTGAAGACGCGGTGACGCACGGGGGTCACATGGACAAGTCGGGTGATATGTTATCTGGAACAAAGGATATGGCTCATACGTCAGTGCAAGCGGATGGCGGAGTGACAGCTACAGCCAATGATTATGAGACATCCCCTGACAATCAAAAGGCAGATGGGCAGAATTCATTACTGAAAACGGACACGACAGAAAATATGACAACGGCCACTCCGAGAAGTAATGTATTTCTCATGTCGCAAAGATTTATTTGTTCCCGCAATCATCATCATCATCATCACCATCATCATCATCATCATCGTCATTATATATAAACCTGTATTAAGCAGACACCGTATTAAGCGGACAACCTCTATTAAGCGGACAGTAGCCCAAGTCCCAAAATTTATTTCCCTTATTTACTTTAAATGAAACCTTTATTAAGCGGACACCTCTATTAAGCGGACGCGGACACCTAAAAAGTACCTGAAATGGTCATTCCTATTGTTGCCAACCTGTATTAAACGGACACTAGTAACCAAATGCCACCAACCAACATGCCAGACACCGGAAATGCTAAAGATTGCCTCGAATTGCCACCCACAAATATTTTTATTTTTACATTAAAAAACGTGACTTGACGAACTTATTTGATTAGTTTCCCAGTACAGTATTGTTTTCTATTTCGTTTTGTTTGTGTAGAGCTTTTTTCACTAATCTGATTTCTTCAAATTTGAGTTGCAATATATGTTTAAGGTACTATGATCAATTGGTCCACTTTGATAAAGAAACTCATACAAACGTATATCGTCATAGTCTCTGGGAGTCTTCTAAACGTTTCCACTATTCATTTGAATGGCATTGGACACCTCTATTGAAACCTGTATTAGGCGGACACCCTGTATTAAACGGACACTACAGCTTTCCCCGAGGGTGTCCGCTTAATACAGGTTTCACTGTATACTAGAAATACGTGGGGATGGGGGGGGAGGCCCATAAAATGTCAGGAATGGTAGGGGGAGAGAATTAGAGTAAATTGTTAAGCTTAGGAGGGTGGGTTTCAACACTGGCTCTAGTACTGGAAGGTGAGATGTACTTAATCTCCTTTTGGTTGGAGTAAATTTGAACCCATTGCTCTGTCGTTAAAAAGGATTTTCTCAAATTTTCTCATTTTCTCAGTTTTCTCATTTCTTCAGTTGCTGTTGTCTGTTTCTCCTCTGGGTTGTACCGTTCCATAAAAATTAAAAATTCGTTATAACAAGTCAAAATTAACAGCGTCATGGATTAACTTTAGCTATCTTGGATCAGACTATCGATACTGTTACTCATCGGCAAAGCAGTGTAGATTTTGATAAGGATAAAAGATACAGATGAACGTATTGGTAAAACCCTTGCACTTTTTGTTACTTTCAGATAGCACTCCGACGATTTCTCACAAACATTTGCTAAAGCTGAAGGATCTTGCTAATAAAGGTAAGTCCCAGTTGGATAGTTATTTTTGATACATGACTGAAGGGTTTTACCATGAAAGGGGAACGTCATCGTTGGCGCATAAACTTCGGATAGGTGTGTATGTAACCCTATTAAGGATGAAACAAACGAAAGCTGATTTAAGGGATTATCAAACTCGAGGAAAATTGTGCGAATATAGAGGTAGAGTCATTATCGCTTATCCCAACAATCATAGAAAGATTTCGGTCGGCAGCCTGGAAAGCATTCGACGTCATATGAACAAAATAAAAACAAATTCCTCACTAATCCCTCTCTACTGAAATAGAAGTATAAATAGAAAGCCACAAACTGTACAGACCTCTCCGACTTTAAGGGTACTTCATTCTAAATAATCAGTATTAAACGTGGATGCGTTTCTGAGAGTAACAATTAATTCTTGATTACTTATTTACGTTCATTAACAATAACTGCTAAATATAGATAAACATATATTTTTGTTTCTCTACCATGCTATAGTTTGTTCTGCTAAAGCGGATATTGGGATACTTATTGATGGCTCCTCAAAGGTTACACAAGAGAACTTTTTCAAGTTGTTGTCCTTCACGAAAAACCTGGTGCGGTCTTTTTCAATCTCTAGAGATCATGCACACATTGCCGTGGCAACCGCATCCAAAGGGCCTCACATGAGTTTTGATTTCCAAGGCTTCCATGATGAATCAAGCATAACAACAGCTATATCGCGCATAACATATCAAGGTGGCCCGTTTCTCTTAGGTAAGGATGTTTTGTCTGACGACACATCTTGAATGATAGAACATTACATTGTACACAAAGTACGTGCCTAGCATTCCTGTGATCCTACTCGCTCTGAACCATGTGCTCTTGTAATGGCGGTTCACCAATGAACTGATGTTGTTGTGTTCGATCCTTGTCGTATTCCATACCTAAACAAATCAGCAAGTTTACAGTCTTACAAAACTTAGTAACACGTGTTCCTTAAGTTCATAAGGCAGATTATCGCAGTAAATCATACTCTTGACTACTACTAAATTGACTTAGTTTGATGCATGGATGGATGATTATAACTGATTTTGGTTACTGATGATTGAGGTACTCTAAATACCCACGGAATTAACTTTTTATTAACTACAGTCGAATTTCTCCATAACGGGCACCTTGGGGACAGAAGAAAGTGGCCGTTGTGGAGAGCAGGCCGTTATAGGGAGGTAGGGGTGTAATATGTGACCCTCCACAGGAATTTGATGCTAAAGGTGAAAGCACGCTCACGACACGCTTGCACGACACGCTTAGCGTTCCGTAGATCACGAATATGCGCATATTAAATTGAAAAATTGTAGCGTGCCATATGTCACGGTAAGCGTGCGAATTATAGCATGCTTAGCGTGCAATTTGGGTAAGACACGCTGAACACGCTTGATTATTAAAACTGCTAAGATGATAAAAATGGCTTGGGTTTTCAGCGGATTTAATCAGCATTGATAACTGGTCGAAGTGAATCAAATATACCAATTGAGACTGTTTTGGAATTTGATCGTAACCGTAGCCATTTGAAAATCACCACTTAATGGTCGTCTAGCCTGGAATTAACGCGAGATCAGTGTAAACCAATTCCTCCAGCTGTCGGCTGTTGACCGGATTCGCAAAGAGGCCTGCTATCGCATGTGAGGCACTGAAGTTATGTCGCCTGAAAATTATAGTTATGCCACCGGAATATTTATTAGCAGTAATGTACAGAGAAATGAAGTTGAATAAATTAGTTTAATATATTTCTTTAAGCCATTCTGAGACGAACGAAGGTAAATCGGAGAAACAAAAACTGCCTAGAATTTTCTACAGCTTGAGGAAGGCTAAACATTTCTAGATGACCGTTCCATGCTTGTACAATTTTCGAAGCTTATCTAATAAGTTCCTTACGATTTTCTGAAGTTTAGTTTTTTTCCAGTTTACTCCCCAGGTTAAGCTATTTTTCGTAGAGAAAGGAATCCTAAAATTTTCGGAACCGAAAATACGATAAAATTCTCACTTTCCTAAAACTTTTAATTGGAAGCTAAATTTTTCGGATAATTAATGCCGAAGCCCTTGTAATTTCGAAAAGACTGAATTTGTCCTAGGATGCTAGGATGCATTTAAGAGGAAATCGTCGTTGGGTGCCCCTGACGAGCGAAGCGCTATAAATCATAATTTATGTGAAGATATCTCGTTACGCTATGCTAAGACGAATCAAGCGCTGTAAACGTGTACTATATCTCGTTCTTCACAGGACGAAAAAAACAAAAATCTGTAAACTAAAAACAGTGTAGAAAACTAGACTACGTTGCGAGAAACACAGAGGCAAACGTGTTTCCTTTAGCGGGTACATCATGGTAAGCCCGTTTTTCCATGTTTCCGTCGCTGCGTTCATAACAGACGAAATAATAACGATAATTCAGTAGTACTATAAAATATATTTCGTTTTTTCCGAACTTTGATGAGACGAAACAAGCGCGATAAGTCTCAGGTAATACCATGCTAGGACATGTTGGATGTTGAGCATGGTGAAATTTCAGGCCTCATGAGTGAGGATTGCGGCGACGTAAATCTTGCGCCACAAGTTTGATTCGCCCTCATTTATGGAACAATGGGATAATGTTCGTACAAAAATAAACACTAAGTGTAGAGGGAAGAGAAGAACCGTCGTAAAAAGGCTTCAAAGGCAAATTTAAGTTAAATTAAGAATTTTCTGAGATAAGGTCATTTTTTTTTTCCGTGAAGTTAAGATTGTATAATACTTAGCGTACGTATCTTTCTCTTTCATGGCGTTTTTTTTTCTTTTCTGATATGCCATGTAATAGGAAAGTGACATGGTAATTTTTAACTCTAAGGTTAGCATTTTGTAGACTATTTCTTTAGAAATTAGTTTCTATGTAAAAATTTGGTTGTAAATATAAAAGCGACGGTTTTTTTTACGTCTTATCTTAAATTCCGCTTTGTTTTAATTTAGTCCTCAAGGCACTACCAAGTTTCAGGAGGGTGACAAATCTACTCGTGCATCAACGTAAAACAGGCATTTAAAAGACGCAGTAAACTTGCGCGACATACTAAAAAATTATTTTCGCGCCGCTTATGCCGTAATACTTCTGATGACGACGCTAATGATGGTTGTAAAACAAACGGCAATCACAAGAAAGACAACAGGATGATTACGGAATTTGGACAATAAGACTGAAGTAAACGCGATGTAATATTTCAAGAAGAACAGATTTGCATACATTGTTTAAACGCTGGTTTCGCCTTTTGTGTTATTGCCGGCTGGATCAATTAAGCAACATTGCAACCGTATTGGAATTTTGGTACATCTAGAAAAGTAGGCTGGTTTTCATTTGATCACTACGATCCTTGCAATCGCTAAAAAATAAATACAATTTAACGATCCTGGCACTTGATGATTTCTGTTTGATCGCTGCGATCGGCGAGAAAGTGACTAAAGTCCGAAAGATCACTGTTTCTGAGAAAATTGCAAATGTGTTTTAAATTAAGGAATGTGTTTTAATTTAAGGGTGTACAACGTGCTTACTGTATCCCATAGTGGTAATCAATCATATATAATGTATAGAGATAAAATACCCCGAAAACTTGAATAATGTTTTGAATCAAAATGTTACCATGAAAAGAGGAGCAAGGTTCGCAACATTCGCCATTAGTATCATAGACAATTTTTGCTTATTGCAGCATTATAAAAATACAATTGGCGTGATTTATATTCAACGCGCCATAGGGATCACATTTTATGACCATTCTCTACGTTTTCAAAAGTCAGCTGAAAAAAACTGTCAGTTGTAGAGAGGTTTAGACAAGATTCAATGCAGGGATTGTCCGCCGGGACTAAAAAGAGTGGCCGTTGTAGAGAGCTGGCCGTTGAGGAAAGGTGGCCGTTCGTGGAGGTTCGACTGTAACTTTTTATGGTTTTTCACCCTATCTTGTTCCCACCATTAACATAGCCATAGCTTTAACCTCCAGTATAAAACACGTACACAACCCACAATCCTCTGATACACTCTGATGAAGGGTTAACCCTTAATACGTCAGCATCTCTATCAACCTACAATAGCCGATGTACTGACTTTTCAATTCAGTTGATAAATCCAAATCTTTATGTGTTACAGGATCTAGTTTAACTGGCTTGAAAACAAGCTGGTTCAAGAACAGTGGTCGAAAAAGTTTTCCTCAGTTACTTCTTGTCCTTGCTACTACTCAGTCGATTGATGAAATCAAAGCACCAGCACGTGTTCTGCGAGATAGAGGAGTGCGCATCGAGACCGTGGGAATTGGAACACTGTTTGACGGAGTGCAGCTCAAAGAAATAGCTACTCATCCTGCTCAAGATCACGTGATGGCCGTCTCAAAGTATGAGTTACTTCCAATGATAAGGCCATTGCTCACAGTTAGGATGTGCAGAGGTGAGGGACAGTACTTCGAATATCACTATTTTGTTGATTATATCCTGGTGCCGTTTACACTGAAGGCAAATTTCAACCTCAGCACACGTGTAGTAGTTTCCTCGGTCGTAAGACATACGTCTCTTTCCTTATATTAATCATGGCATTTTCCCTAGTACTTTACCACACATTGGCACTGCTTTTAATTAACTGATATATTTTTTTTCGATATTTTACTAGCTGTTGGAGGAAAACTTATTTCACGACCAGTTTCAGGTAGGAACAGTAAGTTTTTGTGAAGTCATCATGGAGTTGGATTTGTTCTCTATTTTATTCTTCAATTCTTAATATTTTTTCTTGACTATACTGTAAATAAGAACATGTATTATCGGCTGTTGCCACTGATTAGTTAAAATTAACTCAAATTGATATCATTAGGAAACATTTAAGAATAGTATAAACTTTTAAGAATAGTATAACTAACTTGTACAAAGATGAATTAGCAAATGTCTTTAACCCCGATAAACCATGTTCATGGGGTCTTGCACGTAACTGTGGGTGCCACTGGCTACAATAGTTTAATAAGCGTTTTTTGAGATTTTTACTGATTTAACTGGGAGGTACCCTGCATGGGACTCCACGTCCCGTTTGCACCTAACCTTTTGGTCTTTTTTTTTTTCGTTACTGTAACTATTTATTTAGAGAGACCCAGACCAATAAAGTTGATTAAAAAAAAGCAAACAAACAAACAAACAAAACAAACAAATAAAACAAATTTTCGTCCGTCGGATGCAGGAATGTATGATATGTTCCACAGACTAACTCTTTTTACATGATTTAAATTTTATACGTTTTAGAGATTCGTAGCAAAGACCAACCACTGATGCCGACACCTGCCACTTTAACAAATCAAGCCACTGCCAATGACGAAATGAATAATTCTCAACAGCCTCCATCTGAAATACATATGGAACAAGATCCAGAAGTGACTCAAGACGAAACCACAGACCAAGTCAAACACAAGAGTGAACAATACAAGTTAAAAGCGAACCTAAAGCAACAAATGGATCAGTTGAACCAGATTCACGAAAAGCACAGAGGAGAAAACGGTTTAAGTGACCAGAGAGACGTTGAGAAAGAAAAACTAAAGGAGGTAAATAAAATCACAATTAATTCAAAAAGTATTCACTCATTAATAAACTATTTTTCGTTAAAAATGCCCAGCAGTTAGGAAAATGAAAACGTTGATTGGTGAAGGAAAGATCTGCGATGCAGGGGTTAATTTTCAGAGGGACTGGAAAAGCAAATTTTATGAGGTATGATTTTATTGCGATTTTTATCCTTTGAGGACAGAAGCAAAGCAAAATTACAAGCCTGTGTCAGGTAAAAATAAAAATGCTTTAATGCCAATAGTGACCTGAGCACACTGAAAAAATTACCAGGAATTATTAATGGCCAACCTGCCAGAAATATACTTCCAAGTAAACGATAGTAACGCTTTGAAGTCTATAGCCTGCGTCGCAGACGTAATTCTAATAGCCATGGTTAGTGATTAACCAAAGTTTAGCTTCGTCTGTGGTGAAGGCTATGAAATCTACAATGCTCAATCAAGTGTGGCATGTTTAAAGAATCGAATTTTGTAACAGGCTTACTGTTTAGTCCCAAGGTTCTTCAAAGGGCAAATTTACATTATTAATTATTTATTTACCTCATTTGCTCTGTTTTTACTTATTTCAGGACATTAGGCGAAAACTTTATGCGTTATTACATCGACTTGGTGGGACGAAGAAAGATATTAAAGCTGCTTACAGGTCAATAATCTACAATATCAATGGACATCATGCTGGTAAGAATGTATACAGTACTTTGAATGTTAGTTTAAACTAGTTTTTGAACATCTTATACAAAAACGCGTTTCATCGATTACCTGCAACACAACAGAATGGAATCATGACGGTGACTTTGCTTACCTCGTGAAATAATTTACAAAATACATTAGTTTCTCCTACTAGCAATAACCAAAGGTTACGGAGTATGGGCGACAACAATCGAAGGTCAAAACGCTTTTGCCCCAACGCTGTGCTTTGCGTAAGTTTCATGTGAGAGATGGTCAAAACACGCGTGTTCAGATTACGAGTGATAGAAGGTCCAACCGCGCGTGATCAAATTGCGGTCTGTGTATTCCATTCATTCTTAGTGGAAGTCCAAACGAATGCTGGCTAAATACATGCGACGCATGCATAATAACAACCTAGAGATTAGGATTGCGGGCTCTGTTCTTGTCGCCCGCAAAAAATGTCTCTTCCCCAACTTTTTTTTTTTCTTCGGGTTAAGAAGGTGCTGCTTTAATCTGCAGAGAGAATGGACACGCAATTCAGGACTTTGAATACCAAACCAATGATATTTCCAACAAAAGGAATTTACAAATGGGTTCGTCATAAGCCTCTCGTACCCATTATCCCTGTATTCTATGAAGCGGCGAAACACAGTTTGTTTCAGTGTTGTTTTGAAAGTAAAACTGGCCACTCTGAAGATGTTAACTCTGGACACTACTTTATTAGCAATACCGCACCTTAGAATAAGATTTTAATTAAATGAGTCATTGATATTAATCTGTTTTCTTTAGGCAACAATTGTATAGACAAGCATAATTTGTGTAAACAGTGGGCAAAAGATAACCTTTGTGAGAGGGGAAATGAGACAATGGACTCACAGTCAGTACAAAAAGTGTGTCCAAAGTCATGCAGCGTATGCTTCAAGTGAGCTGTGCAACAGGTAAGTTCGTACTTTTATAAAGGTGCTAGGTTTCGGCATTTTATATCCAGAATAAGAGATTCTCAATACCTGAAAATCAATCTGCCCTTAGTGCTGCGCTGTTCGTAATCTCTTACAAACTAAAATATCCTGTCAACAGAGTAATAACTAATATATATTTTTTGAATACTCATGATAGTTTTAGCCTCATTAGTGACTTAATATTAAATTCATCTAAATTCATCTCCGCGCGCGAGCGGAGCCCCTACCTAAGATAACCTACCCATCCTAGAAAATTTGGTAATCACGTGACCGTACACCGTCCGTCCGCACCACAGGGAAACTAATGTATAATCTCACACTTTCTAGCTAGTTTGGGAGCCCAGGAACGACCTGATATTGCACACAAGTGCTGTGATCAAATGACAGCTGTCAAAACAGGGTATCCGCTGACCAGTATCATCTGACCGTATCGCGGGCTCAGGTATCAACCCATCGAGGTCGAGTATTTTTTGAAGTTATCCGCTGACAAGTTACTAGTTTTCAAATTTTTGATTTCAAACTGACCTCGGGGAAAACAGCTGCTTTTGTTGTTTCTCACCATGGTCACGCTCTTCGTCCAATTTTTATGCTCTTATTGGTCAAAATTTGACAGGTGAGTTCATGCGGAAAATAGGCCTTTTGCATTAGCTGATCACGTGATCAACTTTCGGTAAACACGAAAACAGTTCGCTTTTGAAAAATTTTGTTAGCAGGAGCTGAAAGAGGATATGAAAATTAGGTAACCTGTAAATTCTCAGCCGTATATCGCCATAGCAGCGATTGCAACGGCCGCTGGAAGTTTGAAGGATTTGTATGAGAAAAACAACTTTTGCCACCCGCCAGTCACGCTTAAATGGTTTTCCATACAAATCCTTGTAAATTTCGTTTAAAAATTTCAGAAGTTACAAGTTGTATGGAAAACCACTCAAGCGTGACTTCTCAACAAATCGGCTACTTAGTTGACCAATAAAATATCGGTATTGACTGAATTCTGCGATTTCAAAATGGCTGTGATAAAGTGGAAGTTGAACTTCGTGTCGTGCAATTTTCGCCTTAAAGCATACTAGAGATTTCCAATCGAACTCGTGCTGCGCCCTGGTCCGAATTTGAAATCACGCGTATGATTTCAGACCAAACTGCAATCCACTCAGTTCAATTACCATTATTAAATTTAAGCTTTTTATCATAATTAAATAGCCTCATTGTACTTATATAGTTCTATAGTTTTTTTAAGGGCACTTTAATTGGAGCCTCGCTCTGTGGGTGACACTCCCCATGGCTTTTTGTTTGGCAAAAGTTTTGAGCCAGGGAAAAGCGCCCTGGGGACGAGGTTGGGATTAGCAGGCTTTGAGTACATTGGGAGCAAGTCAGGAATTTGTATTTTTATTTTTTTTAATGGAAATTACACCAATATTACAAAAATTGAAAATGAAACGAAGAAAAATAATAATTACAATACATATCCCTTGAACTATTTTCTATGTTCACAACGGGCTGAGGTCTAAAAATAAATTAATAAGAGAAAAACGAAAACTGAAAGGTTTGAACCCAGGAGTCATTTCAATAGTAGGTTGAGTTTGATCGTCCGGGTGAACGTAGTCCTGAATAGTACTGCTGTTGTTGACAGTGACTGAGGTTTCGACAACCTGTACGTTAATCATCTTCAGAGTCAAAGTGAGTTGTATCGGCAGTTGTATCACGTCAGTTGATGGTATTATACTCTGGTTATTGGTCTGATTGGTCAATTACGTTGCAATGTTATTGGTCGTCTGTCAGTTAAGCCGTGATGTTATTGGCTATGAAGACTCATAATCAGTAATTGGTGCGTTTCGGTCCGTCTATTGCCACAGTATAGTAGCACAGTAGTGATGCATATTTATTTCTTTTTGCTAAATGTGCACCTGCATATGAAACTTGAAACAATGGCAGTGAATAATGAGGTCGCTCACTTGTAAACACAAAGTATGGGGGGAAAATTGGTTATATTTGAGGCCCTATTTAAAAGCCTTCTCTGTTTTCAATGTTCTTGAAACTTGCAGGGTATATTTATTGGCAATTGATCTCGGGATTGTCAAATTTATAAAAAAAATTATCGAGCGGTTTTTTGAAAATTGCGAAAGTTGTAGGCATGGACCAAATTACGTGCAAAAACTGTAACAACAGCAGCTGAATGCAAGTTACTAAAATTCTTCTTACTCACGATCGCCCTGAGCAATTCCCCTCTTTTCTTGTACGCAGTTTTCAATGGAATCAAACCACTATGAGATGAAGCCGCGTTTCCAAAGCTTATCATTTTCTTAAAAATTTAGCTAATTGTGTGGATAGCATGCTATTTCACTGTTTTTATGATGCTTAAAACTTCGTTTCAAAATATCTCGAAAACGCTCTCATAGAATTTGTTCAAACTGTCCCATAATTGAGGCAATTATGGCAGGTACAAACTCCCTTAAGCGATTTCTTAAAAAAACTCTTGGTACAGAGAAACACAAAGATAAACAAAAAACGTAATGGCGTTGTTACGTTGCCATGGCGACTCCGATTGCAATAAAACCCAAATCATAAGAAATTTTCCTCTTTGTATAATACAGTTGTGGTAATCTTTTTCCCATATGTTTACTCATGGCGACGTAGTTAATGCTCAAACTTGGGAGGTATCCCCTCAAAAAAAATCCAGTCGAGCCACCTTAACAGTCGTCTATTGTTAGACAAATTGTCAGTTCTCCAGTCGTTCTCTTGTGGTTAGTTCTGCTTGAAAAAGCAAAAAATGCTTGAAAAAGCAAAAGAAAAAAGAAAGAAAGAAACTGAAAGAAGACGACGCTAATCTTATACGTGAAACAGTGAAGCGTAGCTTAAAGGAATATGTATTATGGGAGTTACACTGGCATTCACATAGTTAAGTCAAGAATTGCTAAATGGGACAGGGTATGTGGCATAGCGGGATACAAAGGAGTCACTATGGAGCAAAAAGTGAACTTGTCTTACGCAACAGGAGATAACACTGTTTACAAATACGTCAGGAAGGAAAAGTCATCTGAACGTGATATTCACCGTAAAAAGTAAACGATGAAGGCCGGTTTCTTACAGGTGATATTTATCTGCAAATCCTTGAGGAACTTAAAAATAAAGAAATTACTGCACGTAGGCAAACAAGTAGCTAAGTTGGGAAATATGGTTTTTAGTCCTCCAATTTTCTATAATTAATGACATTTAATCAATATTCTGTCTTTTCACCCAACAGAAACCAACCGGCAATACCGAATGAATCAGAGAGCACCCAAAAATAAAACCCATGATCAATCCGTGCTTCGCCAAGCAATTTTTCTAAGCCAGTTGACGTTTCTTCTTTCTATGCAATGACCACTAGAATAAGCAAACAATTTACCTATGATATAAAAATAACGTAATTCTACTCCCTCTAAATTCTCCAAATCCTTTTTAGCGTACGAAAGCATATTACCGTGACAAGGCAACCCTCTCGCCTTACGGACATCCATTATAACGGACACCCCGATAATACGGACAGCAGCTAAATCCCCGGCAAAAACAAATTGCAGACGTTTGACTGAAATAAACTCTCGCTACAGCGAGTTAGAGTCCTCATTAGCGAGAGTTTATTTTAGTCAAACGTCATTTGTTTTTGCCGGAGATTTAGCTGCTGTTCGTATTATCGGGGTGACCATAAGGCGAGAGTTGGCTGTACATTTTACTGTATCTATCTATTTTTTAAATAACTTTCTTTCGTTTTGTATAAGCTTAATTACTGTCTTTCGACAGTTGAAGTCACCTGACAATTTTATTTCATTTGTAGTCAGCTGCGTCAAGTTTCCATAACTTCATTAAATATGATAAAAAGCAACTTAAATTAAAATTGCTTTTAAAAATAACAATAATAATATTGGTAAAATCTTTATTACAAAACCTCAATTAAAATCCTATTTACAATCAACCTGCTGTTACTTTCTTAGCTATCTTGTCTGCGAGATAATAATATTAGGATTATAGTAAGAATTAATTAAAACTGCTACAGAAAAGTACAAAAAAGAAGGGTGCTTGACTTCTAAGTAGTCATTACTTATGACTCGCTCTCTTGGGAGGTATGTCGGCATGACAGCAGCTACAGCTCAGAGCTAAACAGAAAATAATACTAATACTACTACTACTACTACTACTAATAATAATAAATATAATAATAATAATAATAATAGTAATAATAACAATCATAATGGTTTGTATTATTGAAACTACAGTATTGGCTTTTCTGTCCATTTGATAAATAAATAGCCCAACTGTTTTTCTCTGTCTTAATTTTTGAACTTTCTTGAAAATGGTTCTACCGGGAATACCTCTCTTGCTTCTTCCTATATTTCCTTAGGAGGCAAAATTTGATGAAACGTCAAGCGAATTACACGCGCTAAGTAAGCAAAACGACCGAAAAAAACTTTCGCAACACCTGGTTCACTACTAATCTGCCACATTTTATTCTACACACAGTAATTTACCTGCATAAAAAACATAGAGAATATTACAAGTCCGCGCGAATATATGAAATTTAGTTTTCGAGTGGTCAAAACAATATTTTACGAACGAGCGAGGTTTTTCAACACGAGAAAATAAAATTCATATTTTCAAGCCACTGTGTAATTTTCTTTTTATTATATAGAGTGTTTACATTTTTTCTTTCTCACTCCCAGCACAAACTTCATCGCGAACTGATGTAGTTCGGCGGCGTGAACTTCTTAAAGTTCTCTCCTTTCGTCCTCACTTGTAAAGAACTTGTTGAATAATTTTAAGTCAAACAAAGTTTTCTTCTTCGTATTAACATTCTCCTGCTCCTTCAAGAAAGATTTTATGTCAGCTTCAGATAACTTCACTAATCTATTTTTTCGCTCCCCATCTTTCTCTTAGCATTTGGCAAACTGTGCACAAACAACAGTTTGAGAGGAAAATGATGCAATCGATATCCTCAC